CAGACACAAAAAAAAAAATAAAAAAAAAAACACATCATAGTAAAATTAATACCTTCTCAGCTTCGCATCGAAGCTAAAATTCTAACAAAATTGTATTCTTATTACTTTAAGCTAACTATAAATTTTGTATCATAGTAGTCTAAAATAATTTAAATTAAATGATTTATTACAAAATTTAAATAAGAAAATAGGAATACAAATTTGTATAACATTTTGGGAATATTTTACAAAAATAAATATCATGATATATTAAAAATCTCATTTGAAATAATTTAAATATTGACACTATTGAACGGAAACAATTATTTAACTAATCTCAAAATACAAAATGTCAGTAAAGTTTCTTAAATTAATGGCATAAATAGTAGACATTTTTAAATATATTTAATTCATATATACGTGTTCCAAATAGTGTATGACGTAATAGCGTTATAATTTAACAGTATAAATAATTAACAGTTAAGCTAAAAAAATGTCTACAAAGTATAAGTGCAAGTCTATTAATTGTATATGTTTTATTTGTAAAATAAAATTTTCAAAATTCATTTGTCAATCGGGTAACTTAATTTTTTAATAATTACTTTTATAATTTTATTTAATTTCTATTTATTANTCTTCGACTAGATACGATTTGTGATCTTTTGACATATTGTTCATCAAAATCGGTCCAGCAAGAGCTGAGATTGAACGTTCACAGACACAAAAAAAAAAATAAAAAAAAAAACACATCATAGTAAAATTAATACCTTCTCAGCTTCGCATCGAAGCTAAAATTCTAACAAAATTGTATTCTTATTACTTTAAGCTAACTATAAATTTTGTATCATAGTAGTCTAAAATAATTTAAATTAAATGATTTATTACAAAATTTAAATAAGAAAATAGGAATACAAATTTGTATAACATTTTGGGAATATTTTACAAAAATAAATATCATGATATATTAAAAATCTCATTTGAAATAATTTAAATATTGACACTATTGAACGGAAACAATTATTTAACTAATCTCAAAATACAAAATGTCAGTAAAGTTTCTTAAATTAATGGCATAAATAGTAGACATTTTTAAATATATTTAATTCATATATACGTGTTCCAAATAGTGTATGACGTAATAGCGTTATAATTTAACAGTATAAATAATTAACAGTTAAGCTAAAAAAATGTCTACAAAGTATAAGTGCAAGTCTATTAATTGTATATGTTTTATTTGTAAAATAAAATTTTCAAAATTCATTTGTCAATCGGGTAACTTAATTTTTTAATAATTACTTTTATAATTTTATTTAATTTCTATTTATTATAACCATTACAGTCCGTTCAAGACATACGTCATTATCTCCAATAAAAGTTTTTAGGAAATTTTTATACTTTGGGAAGTTTAAGGAGGGATGGGGCTCTAAATTTTAGGTTTATTTAATACTATACAAATAGAACTGCTCTAGGTCGAGCATAAAACTAATATGTTATTGCCTTTCTCTTATATGATTATATTTTTTACTTTTGTTCTATTTTTGGATAATTTTTAACCATCCATCAGGTCATTGTTAATTTTGATAGCTAACCATAGTATTACATTCAACAACTTTTTAGGCAATATTTAGAATAAATATTAAATATATAAATTATATATTTCTGAACAATAAATATATATCATATAAGCAAATTTGATAAAACGTTTCACAATACAATACTATATATGGTGAATAAGTTAATCTTTTACAACATAAATAGTGTAACGATTTTAGTAGTGAAAATGTAAATTAATTCCTTTATAATAATTTGTAGCGTCCTCAGAAAATTAATTTGAGATTTACCCAAGTACTAATTCAACGGACTAAATGGACAAAACTTTACACACATATACAATTTAAGCGATTAGCTCATAAAAATAAAAAAAGGCTTGTGAAAATTACAAAATTAATTAATGCTTCAACTATGTTAATTTTAAAACATTTATTTCTAGGTATTTTCCAGTTAAAAAATTATGCTTATCCTGTTTATGTGCTTATGCCTTATTGTAAGTTACACGTTAATATTTCAAAAATACAGTTTCCTTGATCATAATGGAAATTATGTGTATAAAATCAATGTTGTAAATAATTAAATAATAACTAAATAATTTTTATTATTCATTAATTGATGTTCGGTTAAGAATTGGATAAATTGATTTAGATAAAAATGAATAAAAATTAATTAAGTGCTAATAAATTATACGGTTGATTCATTTGTTATGAACCAATTAACAATGTTAATTAATATCATCATTTATTTATTTGATCATTAATCATTTATTAATATCATAAAATATTTTTTATGTTTATTTCTTCTATCATATAAGGGTGTCAACAATATTATGCATATTACCGTTTTTTAAATAATAACATAAATAATTGATTAGATTACTAATAGATTATAATCTTATAAGGTAACAACTAATCGATAACAACTTTTGGACTAGTATTTTAGAAGTCATTGACATATTTTTACCTAAGCGGAACAAGAAGTGAATATTTATAAAAATATCTGACAACATCCATGTTTCACCTCCAGCCATTACTGTAACATGTTAGTAACTTCCTGTGAATACTCGTACAAAAGTAGTTATCGATCAGTCATTTTCTTAATTAGATCATTATCTATTAAATAAGCTAGCTAATTATTTTTGTAATCATTTGAAAAATAAAGTTTAAGCTCTAGTTATCTATACATAGTGCTGGCTCGTGTCTTGGACGACGGGGCGATCGCAACCGCCCTACTAAAATTAATTGTATATTCTTAATTCTACTTTATTATTAAAAATACAAATTTTTAATTAGTGAAATAGTTAAAATACATTTGTGGTGTGCGAACACTAAAGTTGTTTCCCTCAGTATATGTGCGTACCCCTCGCACTCATGAGCAGTGTTTGGACGACCAACAGCATTGTCCCAGCAATATTCTGATTGTATATTATAAACGGGACGTTGCAGTTGTGTACGAGTGGGTTGGGTTCAGCTGCGATCTTGTGTACGGGTTATGGACGACTGGCAGCGTTGTCCATTCAGTAAAATATTAGTAAATTGGGTAATTTATTTTTAGAATTAACTACGTGTACGCTCGTCATTATCGATTGCTATAATAGTTTAATGGCTCTTATTATTATTTTCATTTCTATTACTAGTATACACATACAGTATGTGTTTAGCGTTGATAATGGTAACATTGTTTCCGAAATACGTATCCGCGACTTTTCATTAATTTTTTTGTGGCNGTATTATATTTAAAGTCGCATCCCCACCACCAGCATCCTCGACCCTACACTGATTATACATGTATTTTAACTAAAAAATTCGAAACTACAAAATGTTATATCAACTAAACATATTAAGATATATTAAAAATGTAAACACCATTAACTAATAAAAAAAAAATCCTCAAATGTTTTATTAATTTCAAAATATGTGTTCCTATTTGAAAAAAAAACAAAATTTATAATATTACGAGGCATATTAAATAAAAAATATTATAATAATAATTCCAGAAAAGTATATAAGTAAAAGTAACAAAAACAAAATAATTTTTATTCTGCAAATATTTTAATGGGTTATAATAAAACAATTCTGAATTTTATTTTTATTTTTTGAATAAATAAATAGTTTGTAATAAATTAATCACTCTGTATAGTTGCTACTAAAAATAATAAATAATTGAAATACATTTTTATGAGGGGATCTCATTTGAATTAGCTCTTTATATAACAGTAGTATACACTTATGTACTGTATTATATTATAGGCACTAATTAAAAAGATAAAATGTTAGAATGTTATCATTTTTTATATATATATACTTTTTTTTTATTTCATGAGCACTTTGTCTGATCTACAAGTTCTGATATAAATTTTTTAATNTCATGAGCACTTTGTCTGATCTACAAGTTCTGATATAAATTTTTTAATTAAACATTCGTTATATAAATCTTAATTTTATAAAATTTACGGAGTCTATTCTCCGTAATTTTTCTAAATATTATTATACTACAATGTTATGGCTGATAGTATTGCATAGAAAAGGTAATTTTTTTTAAATTCCTTACGCAGCCATAAAAACCAGTTTGCTATAAAACAAAACATGTTTATTACTTTCAGCCAATATTATATTCATCAAATATGGCCCCAATAAATGAAGACGATTTTAAGGAAGTCAAAGTGAAGATGTTCAATTGTTTACTTATAGCTTATAAAAAGGAACAACAAAGTAAAGTTTAATTACCATTTGAAACTATTAGAAATTTCTAAAAATATGATAGAAATTATAAATACAAAATAAATATAGTTTAAAAAAACTGAAAAAACATGCTTTTAAAGCACATCGAACTAAAAAGTTAAAAATAATTTTTAAAATAATAATGAACGAAAAATACTAGTTGTGAAAAAAATTGTCGGGCACTCAATATACGAAAAATTTGGCACAAAGCACTCACGCTTTTATCATAATAATAGTAGTATTTTTCGTTCATTATTGTTTAAAGCTTATTTTAAAAATTATTTTTAACTTTTTAGTTCGATGAGCTTTAAAAGCGTGTTTTTTTAGTCTTTTTAAACCATATTTATTTTTTACTTTTTAGTGTCATGTTATTAAGTAAAATTAAAACTATATTAAAAATATTATTAATTTAAAAAAACTAAAAAATATTAAAAATATTAAACTCAAAAGCCACAAAAAAATTAATGAAAAGTCGCGGATACGTATTTCGGAAACAATGTTACCATTATCAACGCTAAACACATACTGACACCNCAGTATGTGTTTAGCGTTGATAATGGTAACATTGTTTCCGAAATACGTATCCGCGACTTTTCATTAATTTTTTTGTGGCTTTTGAGTTTAATATTTTTAATATTTTTTAGTTTTTTTAAATTAATAATATTTTTAATATAGTTTTAATTTTACTTAATTAACTAGCCACAAGTGATCAATTTTTATTATATATGTCATGTTATGATAGTAGTTACTATCAATATCATGGTTGTAACGGGAAAACAGGGTTTGATTCCGGGGAGGGAGCCTGAAAAACGGCTACCACATCCAAGGAAAGCAGCAGGTGCGTAAATTATCCACTCTCGGAACGTGGAGATAGTGACAAAAAATGACGATACGGGAATCATCTTTTGTAATCGGAATGAATACACTCTATATCTCTTAATGAGAATAAAGCGTATTAATATATATTTTTAATAGTAATTAGAATATATACATGTAAAGCGACTTAAGTACGTAAACGTATCACGCACAAGGTATAGCTGTGTTTTGTGAGCGGGCGGGGCACGGGGGAATGTAATAAGCGAGGCATATGTGGCGGCTGTAGGAATATATATATATATACAAACAAACTATTATTAATAATATTATTGTATTACATATATATAGTAAGGCGACATAAGCACATAAACGTATCATGAACTAGGTATAGCCTTGGTTTGTGGTCGGGGGGAACGTTATACCTTAGGTAAAAACGGCGTCAGCGGCGGTAGGAATATATAAATATATATATTTGGTCAATCAAAATAAAAATTTGTTTATGTATATAATTGAAAATAAAATTTTACAGGAAAATATTGTTGTTCGTGAGTGGTGAGCGGGGTGGGGTGAATGCGTTACGACAATAGCATTTTACCCAATTTACTGGGTATTTGTAACTAGAATCTATTTAGTATAGAATATTAACATTNAGCATTTTACCCAATTTACTGGGTATTTGTAACTAGAATCTATTTAGTATAGAATATTAACATTGTTTCCGAAATACGTATCCGCGACTTTTCATTAATTTTTTGTGGCTTTGAGTTTAATATTTTTAGTTTTTATAAATTAATAATATTTTTAATATAGTTTTAATTTTACTTAATTAATTAGCCACAAGTGATCAATTTTTTTTTATATAAAAGCTTTATATTGCTTAAAAATATTTATATTCCGAAATCAATTTAATTTAACCCAAAAAAAAGAAATTTCAATAGCTAGTATTTGTATATTTATTATTAGATTATACGTAAGAGCTTGGTTTAATGCACCACTTGCTTCTAATGCACCATACCAAGATTTAAATTTTTTAAATTATCAGTCAATAGATAAAAATATATCAGAAGTTACAGTTAAAAAATGTGTGGTCATTTATGGTGTCTATCGCCAGAGATACGGTATTATCGCTTTTTGATACTAATGTTCCATTTGATACAAAGAGAAAAATTATAGCTGCTCTAAAAATCCATACAGATGATGATGTACCAAAAAAATATTTATTGAATACAATAGAAGCTACCGAAATATTAAATAAAAATCTTGAAGATTTTATTTGTGGAAAATCAATGCAATTTTTCAAACGTTTTATTAACCTTATTAATAGCATTAATGTAGTAAATGATATAGCTGAAAGGGGTGTTAAACTATTGAAAGAGTTTAATACGAAAATAGCAAACGATGAAAAACAAAAACAATATTTGTTTTAAGTAGTAAATGATTACCGCAGTAAATATCCAGATTTCAAAATGAGTACTCATTTAGATAATTAGTTAAATGATTAATTTTTTGTTTTTATATTTTCTATGTTTCTGTAAATTTTTTTTAAAAAATTTTCGTATTATAAAATTAACACTGAATTCACTTTATTTTGTTAGTTTTTAACAACAAAATAATTTATATATTGACTTTTTATACATAAATAATAAGTAAATCAAAAGAGTATTCAGAATATAATTTGTGTAAAACATTATTTTAAACAATTTTATTTTTTACAATTTTGTTGTGAATCAATTATTTCACGCGCTGAACTAAAAAAACAATGAAAAATATACGGTTATCCAAAATTTTTGAGTTTTCAAACTTTAGGCCTTTTGTGGCACGGGTTAATCTTTTCTGATTTACCTGAAACATTGCGTACCTCATTTTTATAAGTATTGGAACTAATTGAGATTGTATAATTTTAGAAAAGTTAAGTTTTTAAAATGATCCCTATTCACTAAAACCACCCTAATATATATATATATATTTTGTTAAGTTATATTTTATTATTCTGTGAATTTTAGATTATCGGTTTATTCCTGATGTTATACATACTATATTAGATAGATTTATATGTATGATTCAAAATGATGAATGGGATTTAGATAAATGCTCTGTAGAGTATTTTAACCTCATGAAAATATCAGATATATTCAAAACCGAAAAGTTAAAAAAATTAAAAGCAGTTATTAAAAAATGTCTTGGTGAACTTTACTGTGATCTACGTCCTTCTGAGGTAAATAAAGTTAAAGCAATTATTATTTAATAGAACAAAATTTTAAATTCGTATGAATCCATATTATAAGAGTAGGAAAAATAGAGAATTCTGGGCCCTGCACTTCGCCCCTTAACCGTCCGATGGTATGAATGTGAAAGGGAGAGGGGAATGCTTGGTCTCGTGATGGAGGGTGTAAGAGTAGGCTGGTATCATGATGATGTTGGTAAGGTGTGTTAAGGTCATACAAAACGGGGGGGGTTAAACTATAGAGCGCTTCAACACTATAACTCGATGACAAAGGTGGGGTAGATGGTTCATACGTACCTCTTCTCCTCCACATACTGGACGATAGGGTAAACTAAAACTCCAAGTTAACTGATAACGTCAACTGATAAATGTACGTTTAAACGTACGCACTACATTGAATAGTACACGTTAAGTAGCCGCCGCTGCCACCACACGTGTCCTTGACTATTACTTTAACAGATTTATTTAAAATTACAATATTATAATATATTATATGCAATTAAAATATAACATTTTACAATACCTCATATTTGACACGGCACCGCCTTTTGATCTAGGCTGGCGCTCACCCGTGTCTCTCTCGATATCAGCCGTCCAGCCATTAATATGACAATCGGTTGTCATCGGTCGTCTCCCCGCCCTTGACACTAAAATAAGGCCACCGCCGATATTGCGTTCTGTTCCGTTTCCGACGTACACGATAACTGGTGTATTTTCTTTTTGGTTTTTTGGTTGCGTACGTGCATGTTCTTTTTTACCTTTGCTAAATATATATATATATATATATATTCTAGAGGATTGTTTTTTTTTTGTTTGCGACTCGACGGTGGTGTCGATTAAACCTAAGTGTATTTACGCGAATAAACTAATAAACCTGTGCGGTTTCAACTATCTATATTCATTGGTTACGCGTTAAGCGATTGAACCTAAACATAATTGGTGTGCGTAGTGATATTTACGCGAATAAACTAATAAACCTGTGCGGTTTCAATTATATATATTCATTGGAAACGCGTAATATTGTAAAAAAGTACACTTAATACTTGAATATTTGATGGCAAATTTGATCCGAAAATTATATATTTCATCATAATTAAGTAAGAAAATTTTGTCCTTTGATCTGGTGTTCATTATTAAAAAAATTACAAAATAAAAAAACTCTAACAGATTTAGAACTAAAACTAGAAATAGCAATTGTAATAACATTGTATAAAGAATATCACAATAACATTAAAATAGTGTTATCGTAATAATCGCAACGATTTCAAGGTATTCTTTAGTTCGGTATATGATGACAGAACAAAGTCCACATTTTATACAAACAGCTTGATGTAAAAAAATTCTTAAACCAAATTAAAATCATAATGTTAGTGATTGATTTTTAAACCACTTTTGCGCTGTACAATGTACATATTCGAAGGAAAGATTTAGATTTAGAAAAAATTTTATTAAACATTATTTTCAAATAAAAATTTTATAATTTATATAGATTTTGAAAAAATTTGTCGATTACGCTAATAAAGACTGAATTTCACAAAAAATTAATCGGGAAAAATCGGCGTATTTATGTGTTTTATTGATTATTCAATTAAATATACAATATAGAGTAAAAAATAATATTTTGTAGGAAATACATATTTAAACAAATTTCATTCAGTAAACTTTTTTGATTCAAGTAAAATTTAACAAGTTTTACATAAAAAAACTAATTTTTACCCCTATTTATTAAATTTTAACCCTTCTGGGGCACGGGAAAAAATCATTGGACAATCATGTAACTTCACAAAATGTATTTTTTTTAACCTATAGATTAATTATAGGGGGCGTCCTGATTGAATTTAATAAAAAAAAAATTACCTATTTAGAGAAGAATCACCCTAATATATACGTATAGATTACTTACAGTCTTGGTACACGCTCCATTAGTCTGGTTTTGAAGCATCGTACTCGTATGCTTAGAATTGTTGGCCTTTGCATAGTGCTTAATGGCTTGCACTAGCCCACCACGAATGTATTGTTCCATCATCAGTAGTATGTCAAAGTTGTTCAAGAGCTTAAGCTTCACGGGGTACTTTAACATACAATCGAAGCTAATACCATGTGTGGTATAATAGTGGCCGGGGTACAAAATATATGTTGAAGTACAGATGTCGCAGAAGTTCTCCAACACATAAGCCAACAACAACACGTCGATCTTAAAGTATAGGTCGCTGTACTCACCGAAAGTTGAACAGCAGAAACGGTTCCACACTGCCGCCTATAGTTGTCGTCATCGATATTAGACTCACTCACCTGACTATAAAAAGCGTCCTGAGGTGGTAGCTCAATTTCGTCCAATATAGACCAACTATCAGTGTACTCGTAGGTGTATACGCCCTTACGCGTCACCAACGGCATGTCTTCCGAGCGGAACATCATCTCCTGGAATTTAACGAAATTGGGCGTCAATAGGTTACCGGCCAAGGTGGACAGGAAGGAGGCCATGAACCGGAAGGTGTCAACGAACCGTATAAAAAAATTATTAGTCACGTATTTTTTGACCGAAATATTCTCCTCGGAATTTAGTATGACCGAATTCCTTTGGTCATCGTACCATAATTCTGTGACGATAAAATGCGCGTCGTAACCTGAAAGATCGTGCAAGAAGCACGGCACAAAGTTGACCGTCTTCACTTTCAAGTTACACGTATTGCACAACGTCTGACTGAATCTTCGCGATAAATGGCAAAGGTCTGTGACTTAAGGGTTGTAATTGTTGAATGCTGTGCGGTATAAGTCGCATATCGCTTTCTTCCCGTGCCTGCGCACATCATCGACAGATATTCGGATGGGAATGTTGGATTGAAACAAGACTGGTCGATATTCTGTGGATTGGCGATTGCTTCTCTCTGATTTATGGTGGGACAGGAATATATGACGAACCGTCGATATGCGATATAGAGTAAAGCCGCTACCTCTCCCCGAGTACGCGTATTCCTCGGCGAGCATAACCTCAAAATCTTCATCAACTGCACACCCGATATCCGTATCTGATAGCCATGCCCTAGCACGTATCTTAAAGATACGGTCCTCGGGTGGTACTTCCGATCACGGTATATGGTTTGAGACCTTCAATTTAAGATTGTACTTGATCGGACGGTTATCAACGTTTTCAGTGAGTCTAGCTACCAGCTGGGGTTTAACGACGCGTATAAAACCTCGATAGCTCGCGAAATTTTCGATGTTTTTCAGATAAAACCAAACGCCCCCCCGCTATAACGCGGAATCAATCTCAGTAAAATCACGGGTATCTGTCAATTACATACATAACCTTTTTGATCTAACCACGCTGTTAATAGACCTACTACGCCACCCAAAGTGACGAAGCAGATGTAAACGAGGTAGCTTTAATAAAAAAAAATTATCTATTGAAATAATAAAAAAAGTAGAGTAAAATAAATCCAATACCAAATTGTATTAGATTTATTTTAAAATTTTAGTGATCTAAAAGTATATTAAAATGTTAACTATTGTAAAAATCTACATACTTTGTGTAGAAGATGATTGCTGTTTCATGATTTTTTATTTGCGAGTGTAAAATATTAATATAATAAATTTTTAGTTTTCAAAAATACTACTGTGCGTTAACGTCTATGAAACATGATAATAAGCGTTTAACCGGTTATATAGTAAAATAATAAAAAAACAACGGTCCCCTTTTTATCATAAAATGCATACCTCAGTGTTCATTAATGCATAGTGATACTTTTGATGTTGAGATTATGCTTACTTAAGCATCTGGTAGCCGACGATAAGATTTATAGAAATTATTTATACATTTGATGTTGAAAATAGGATTACCTAAGAATCTGGACGTTAGGCAAATTAGTTTACGTTGGGTTTCATCCCTACCTCACCCATTTCAGGTTAGTTTATGTTAAGTTTTAATACCCCTCCCTCTTTAGGACATGATGATGGAGGAGGAGAACCCTGTAGCGTTAATATTAAGTAAATATGTTAAAGGAATAGCCAAGAACACGTGTGGTGACGTCGGCGGCTACTTAACATAATTTAATGTAATGCGTACATTTATCAGTTGACGTTATCAGTTAACGTGTAGTTTTAGTTTACCCTATCCTCCAGTAGATGAAGGAAAAGAGCTGCGTATGAATCATATCCCCCACCATTGGCATTGAGTTATAGCGCTCAGGCGCACTATAGTTTAACCCCCGCCATTTTGTATGACCTTATTACACCATACCCTCCATCATGAGACCATGCAAATCCTTACCCTTCCATCAAAAGACCACGACTTCCCTTTCCCCTTGTTATTGAAGTTATTAAATAACGTGGACGAGTACATACTGTTCTCATTATTCATTCTAGAATATTTAATATGGTCACAAGTTCTAATTTTTTTTTTAAAAAGAGTGATAAATTATAAGATAATTTAAAAAGACTATATAAATACCCTTATTGGCCCATTTACAATCTTTATTAAATACGGGTTGAACATTTCTTTATCGACCTGAACATTTTTATCGTTTAATTTTAAATAAACATACACTTTTTATAATTAAATCATGTTTAATATTGATCCTTTTAAATTTCAGGATGGTCAGTCGACGAATTGTTGCACAAAATGTTGCTAAAATTTATAAAAATTCAAATAAATTACATTTTTAATTTGAAAATATATTAATAATGTTATTATAAAGCATATATTTTGTTATTACACAAATACTATTAAAATAAACATTTCTATATGAGCGAATTGTATTCATAATAAAAATAAATGTTAAAATTATTTGCTTATTTACAAAGCTCAAACTTCACAATTTCCGCTAAAAGTTGATTAAACAAGATTCTTGATTAGAATACTTTTGGAAAATATTCATTCTAATTTAATTTTTGTTTAATCGTTAAATTATTCTATTTAACTCAGATAGTAAGTCTTATACAAATATTCAATAGGTTTAAAAGACTGTAGAAAAAAATAAAATTAAGAACTTATATTTTGTATCAAATCAGGGTATTTGTTTTTTTCTATCAAATATTCTATATATCATTGATAAATACAAATAATAAACATAGTGCACTTTTAAGTTTTTCTCAGCTCTCACTAGACCGATTATTCTCAACGATACGTCAAAAGATCACAAATCTAGTTAAAGACATTGCCCTCAAAAATTGAAAAATATACCCTCGTTCCCCATAAATGGTGAAAATTTCTCAAAAAATTACGATTTTTAAGATCGGTAATTTTCAAAATTTTAGCTTTGTTGCGAAGCTGAGAAAGTATTAATTTTACTATGATGTGATTTTTTTTTTTATAAGTAAATTTGTTTTGTGTCTATTATCACTTTTTCGCAGCTCTCACCGAACCGAACCTATTTCTTTCTGCGATACGTCAAAAGATCACAAATCGTATTTAGTCGAACAGATTACCCTTGAAAATTGTTTTCTGAACAAATATGTTTTTGGCACATAGAACGTTTGACACATTCACTCTTCATATATTTTACAATAATTGTATATGAAACATAGTTTTATAACAATTAATAAAGAATAAATATGTGTGGAGTGATACCTCCAGTGAGGTGTTTCCTTAACCTAAGTTAAAATTAATTGTTTTATACAAAGTCATATGGTTTATGACGTTTAAGACACCTGATGTTTTCGGAGTTGTCCAATAGTTGAATGACTGCTGTGTTAATGTGGTTTGTTAATCTCATCTCATGTTTGCGATCAAATCTCTTAATTTCTTCTGCTACTGTAGGCAAAATCAAATCACGGTGTATAATGTCATTTCTATCGTATCGATAAGATAAATACCGTACGGTATTTAGTCAATGACATTACCTTCAAAAATTGAAAAAATGTCCCTCGATTCCCGTAAATGGGGGAAATCTCCAAAAAAATTACAAATTTAAAAATCACTAATTTTTTTAATTTTTTCAACTTTTTCAACTTTTTAGTAAAAACAGCCATAATTTTTTCAAAAATGAACATATTAATATATATATATATATATATATATATTTTTAAAGATTGTTGATGTATTTACCTATAATTTGGTAAAATTTTTTTATAAATTTAACCCTTAACCAGCCCACAGAGGGTATTTGAAACAACAACTTTTTGACAAAAAATTAACTTTATCAACTTAATTTTTGAATGTGTTCCGGAAATATTGACATTTTTATATATATATCTTAAATTAAAGCTAATGTAATATACTTTACTATTAAATGAAAAAATTTCGGACTTTATTTTGTTTTCATGGTGAAAACAGTCATCAAAGTTTATAAAAAAAATACGATTTTTGTAAAAATATTATTTTTCATATTTTTAACTTTCATATTTATAACGCTATAACTCTTTGAAAAATGTTTGGATGAATACAAATTTTTTATGAGAAATAATATTTTGTAATGGTACAGTTTAGATGAAATGTTGTAAATGTACTATTATTGTATAATTACTCGTATTATTTTATAATATGCGGCAACATCGTGTGGGACTTTTGCATTCGCGTTATGTGGTAACGGCGCTGGAAAAATGTTGTCATGCCTAACAAAGTGATAAGAAGATAAAATAATTGGTTGGTTATGTTTTAAAAAAGAAATGAAATACGTAATGATATCTATGTATTAAAAAATGAACACTTTTAGCTTCGATGCGAAGTTGAGAAGGTATTGGTTTTACTATGATGTGTTTTTTTTTTTTTTTTGTGTCTGTTACCACTTTTTCTCAGCTCTCACCGAACGGATTTCTTTCAACGATACGTCAAAAGATTACAAATCGTATCTAGTCGAAGACATTACCCTTCAAAATTGAAAAAATGTCCCTCGTTCCCCGTAAATGGGGGAAACCTCCAAAAGAATTACAAATTTAAAAATCGCTAATTTTCGAAATTTTTTCAATTTTTTTTACTAAAAATTGCCGTAACTTTTTCAAAAATGAACGTATGAAAATAAATTTTTTTTATATAGATGCTTGATGTCCTTACCTATCATTTGGTATATATTTTTTGTAAATTTGACCTTTTTTCTGCCCACCGAGGGGGATTTAAAATGACAACTTTTTCATAAAAAATTAACTTTTTCAACTTAACTTTTGAAAATGTTCCGGAAGGTCTGACACTTTTATATATATCTTAAATTAAAGCTAATATAATGTACTTTAGTTTGAAAAAAAAAAATTTGACCTTTGGACTTGTCTTTGTGGTGAAAGTTGACATCAAAGTTAATAAAAAATTACGATTTTTGTAAAATAATTTTTTTTTATATTTTTAATTTAATAATGCTNAAAATAATTTTTTTTTATATTTTTAAATTAATAATGCTATAACTTTTTCAAAAATGAACATATCAATATAAATTTTTTTTATATAGAGGTTTGATGTCTTTACTTATCATTTGGTATAGTTTTTTTTGTAAATCTGACACTTAAACTGCCCACAGAAGGGGATTTAAAATGACAACTTTTTCACAACAAATTTACTTTTTCAACATAACTTTTGAAAATGTTCCGAAAGGTCTGACACTTTTATATATATCTTAAATTAAAGCTAATGTAATATATTTTAATTTGAAAAAAAAAAATTTNAATAAATACGCACGAATATCAACTATATTTGAACTCCTACATCAATGAACACTGCATCACCAGTACAACTGAAATTAAGGTTAGAAATATAACTACCACTAATCGTACACATACTAAATAGTACATAGAAATGAATATGTTTATTTTTGTATATAGTGATATTTATATAAATTTTTAAATTGTTGTTTAATACAGAAACGAATAAATACTTCTAATCAAAACCAATTTTTAATTTGTAAAATAAATTAAATACCATTTCAATTTATATATTTCTTTAATTCGACTTACTTTTTTTTCAAATTGGACCTTTTTCCTTAATACAGGGGGAGTTCAAAACATAAAAATGCATATAGAAAGTAGAACTTTTTCAACTTAATTTTTGAAAGTGTTCCGGAAATACTAACACTTTTATATATATCTTAAATTAAAATTTATGTAATATACTTTAAAAAAAAAAAAAAAATTTTTGGACTCTATTTTGTCTTCATGGTGAAAATAGCTACCGTATTTAAAAATATGCTATTATTGTGTTAAAATTCTTGGTTTTGTATTTTATTTTATTATAAGTGGATTACACTGATTTTCATAAATATTATATCAATCTAAATGACATAGTATGAAAATTAATCATATTTAAATTTTTTTGTTTCTTTGAAGAAATAACTTTAAAATTTGAACTAGCTAAATTTTCATTTTTATTAAGTGACGAATGGGACTTACGTTTTTTGAGATGGTAACACTTGAATCTTTCACGAATGTGGCACTGAATTTTTTTTAAATTCGTTTTGAGTTAAAAAAAAATGTTTAACTCATTTGATTTTTATCTCATTTAGATTCAATAACTTCAATAAATATCAAGGATTATTACATAATAATTAGGATTACTATATAATATTAATATTATTTTACTATTTGGTTTTTTTTTTTGTAGCTATTTTCTCAGTTCTCATTTGACCTACTTTTTTGACAATTTTTTTTTTTTAAATTAAACATCTACAGATTTATATCAAACCGTTTTTTATGATAGTGATTTGAATCACTGTCAGATATCATCTATACTGTACCCAACTATGTCACGACCCCACTGTGCTGGGTTTTTTTAAGATACTCTTTTACAAAATAGTATCATAATTAAACGACTATAGACACCAGATAATATTGTGTTGAGGAAAACATAATGTAGATTTTTCCTTCAACGGAATTATCAGTTTATAGGGTCATTTTTGTAAGAGTTAATATGTAGCACAAATACTGCTTGTGAATTTACATTGTGTAATATGTAATTTTTTTTTATATAGGTATAGTAAATAAGGAAACGGATTTCTATTGTTCTCATTGTTTATAAAAATTAATCTGCTTCCTTACTTACTGAACACTTTATGTGTCCTCTTCTAATATAACTTATTACGATAAATTATTAATAATTTTTATCTAGGTAGAAAAAGAGAACGAAAATGACATTAAAAGTAGCAATAAAGTTGTGTTTGATTAGAAGAAAATTGTTAATGACGAAAATTATTTCAAATGAAAGGGAAATCTAAGGTTTTAATAAAAAAAAAAAAATGATTTTGATTTGTTTATTTTTCAATAAGTTGTAATAATTTAAAAAAAAAAAAAGAAAAAATCCAGCACAGGTTGCGGCACAGTGAAGACGTGCCATAATTGGGTCAAGTATAATGATACATGACAGTGATTAAAATCACTATCATAAAAAACCCTTCGATGCAAATCTCTAGATAGTGTTTAATTTTAAAAAATTAGTCTCTTATTCCAAAAGTTACATGATCTCCTATTTCCTTATTTATATTCTCAGTTGCTAATTGTTAACCAAACAATCAGCACGTATGTTTCGGTCTCGCTCTCGTGAAGCATGTGTGTTATTATTATTAAATGTTTTTATGTGTGTATAATGTGAACCGCGGACTTCTGGACGTTGGTAAGTGTTTTTAATAGATTTTTTAATTAAGTGTTTAATAGTGGTATCAAATTACATTGTGTATAATACAACTATATTATACAAATGTATACATACGGAAATGTCTCCACAGCGCAAGAAAAAAATATAACTGTCAGCTATAATATTTGGATACAAATAATTACTGACATTGAAATTTTCAAAAAAATAACAGCAAAACTTCAAGAAAATAACGAAAAATTAAAATGTCAATGAAGTCAAATTAAAGGAAATATTGAAATTAACACAAGTTCACCAAAAAAAATCCTTAAAGTAACAAAAGAAGTGGTGAGAATTTCTACTAAAATCTACAAACCTCCACCTATTATAGTATGTGGGGTCAATAATATAAAAAAATTCATAGATAATCTAGCAATCGAAGAGGCTTTTGGTCATGAGCGATAACTTAAAACCTTAGCCAACGGTGATATAAATATTTTAACAGGAGACGAATATCAATTTCGCCGTATTGTTAAAATTTTAAAAGAGCAAAAAATTGAACATTATAGGTACTATCTAAAATCTGAAAAAATGTTAATGGTAGTAATCCGGGGATTACACCCTGAAACTGACATATGTGATATAAAGCGCGATCTTTCAGATCAAGGACACTTGGCCCATTATGTATCAAATATACAAATTCAAAAAAAAGTTGACTCTAAAAATAAAAATAGTGACTGGACATTTATTAGTCTACCATTATTTTTTGTTGATAATAATAAAGACATATACCAGTTAAAAAAGCATAGTCACCAAATTATCAAAGTGGAGCCACCAAAGAAAACAAAAAGAGTTCCACAGTGTAAAAACTGCCTATTATTTGGATACACTTTAAATTATTGTCAAAAATCTCCTAATTATGTAAAATGCGGAGAAAAACACAGGTCAATTGATTGCACAAAATTTAAAAAAGACCAAAATTTAAAATGTGCCAATTGTGGAGAAAATCATACCGCAAATTGGAAAGGCTGCGCTGCGTATAAAAAGCAGTTGAAATTTCTCACCCAAAAAAAACTACAGCATTTCAATGGCTACAAAGTAAACCAGTGAAATCTGTTACAACCAGCATATCATACGCTGAAATGACTGGTTCATCAGTCCAAAACTTAAAGATACCCCAAACTTTCGAAAAAAAAAATCATGTGAAAAATGAGGAAGTACCCTTTGTGGAAGTTATAAATTCCTTAGCCAGTATTACTCAAACATTAGCAGTGCTAACTGTAAGATTAGACAGGTTAGAAAACAACCAACCTAAACTTAAAAATAAACGTAAAAATAATATTAAATGACCCGTACCATAGGGTTTATTACGGAGAACGCTAATTGGCTAGTACAGCGAAAACTTGAATTAGAAAACTTTCTATATCATGAAAATATAGATATTGCTCTTATCACTGAAATTCGCATTACATTCTGGACTTTTTTTTAAATAAAAAATTATATTACATATACGACCATTCATCCAACCTTAGACTTTTACGTGATGAAAGGTATTTCCTCTAATTATGTAAAAGTTGAAGGACTCAATGAGTTAACATCGGATCATACACCCGTACTACTCACCCTAAATACAAACGTTATTATGAAACAAAAAAAAGTATTTTTAACGACTAAGAGAACTAACTGGGATTTATTCAGAACGTTACTTAAAAATTCACTTTCGCTTTCCATTAAACTTCAAACATCCAGTGACATCGACTTGGCAGTTCAAATATTACCAATAATATAATTAACTCAGTGAAAACTGCAACACCTAAGGCTGCAGTAGAAAGAATACGAGAGATCACTTACCCAATAGAAATAAGAGAGTTGGTATAAAAAAAGAGAAAAGCTAGAAGAACGTGGCATAGAAAGAGACATCCTACTGACAAAAAAAAGTGGAACCACTTCAGTCAGTTACTCAACAACAAAATAATATAAATGAAAAACGAAACTTTTAAAACTTACTTGAGCAAACTATCTGCAACCCAAGATACTAACTTTTAATAATATAGTCTCAGAACTTGGCGGACTCCAAAGATTACAATTAGATAGAAACTGGTAGAAAATAAAATATTTTTCACCATTAGAAGTGGCGCAAGAATTAGATAATAATATCAATGTAAAAGAAGCACCAGGTTGCGATGAAATCAGCCCGAAAATGATAAAAGAATTGCCTAAGAAGGTGATTATTTATCTTACATACATCTTCAATTCAATTTTACTAACTGAATACGTTCCAAAACTTTGGAAAAAAGCTCAGGTCATAATGTTGCCAAAACCAGATAAACCACCAGATCAGGTAACATCTTACCGGCCAATATCATTCTTACCTTATTTATCTAAGCTTTTTAAAAAAAGTTCTTCTTAATAGGATAAAACCATTGATTGAGGAGAAGCAGCTTTTACCTGGCCACCAATTTGGTTTCCGCAATAAGCACTCTACAATTGATCAGATTCACCGAGTTACCAATGTTTCCATAACCAGGCTCTTGAAGAGAAAAAGTACTGTTGTGCAGTTTTCTTAGATGTTGTGCAGGTATTTGATAAAGTTTGACATGAAGGACTACTTATAAAATTAAGAGAACAACTACCACACGCTTGGTAAGCGTTATTAGAATCTTACTTGACTGAACGAGAGTTTCGGGTCATGCTTAAGCAAGCTGTTAAAGGTGGGAAAACTATAACAGCAGGAGTACCACAAGGTAGTGTTTTAGGACTTATTTTGTATTTACTTTATACTGCTGATATTCTATAAACCAATGACAATAAATACGACAACTGCCATGTTCGCTGATGATACGGCTGTATTAGAAACTAGTTATAGTCAACAGTCTACAACTGGCAAATTACAAAACTCGAGCAATAACATCTTCTTATGGACAAGACGTTGGAAAACTAAAATCAATAGTGACAAGACAATACATGCCAATTATACGATTCGTAATACCAATAATATTCCTATCAAAATGAATCATCAAATTATCCCACAAAAAGATTTGGCTAAATACCTAAGAATGCACTTAGACTCACGTCTTAATTGAAAACACCATATACTCCAGAAAAGTTTTACATTTGAAACAAAATATTATGAACCATTAATAAAATGCATTAGAATAAATAAAATAATTTCTCCTATTGTAGAAAATGTACAACTCTTACTAAAATTGATATATTTTAGAAGCCAAATTAAATATTATGAAAAATGAACTAATGATATTTTGTGAGACAGCTATATGTAGGACGGCTAGTTTTGCACCGCACTAGATTCCCGTCTTGCTATAAATCTGTTTACGATCGCTAGAGGTGTGGGTGGAAGGCCACCTCAGTGGATGTCGGAAAATCGCACATCAAATAATTATGTTAAAAAAGTTCTCTTTGGTATTTTTTAGTTTCATACATTTCTCAATTTATCAATTATAATAATTGTTTTAATTCATCTCTTATACCTTATAATGGTGTCAACTTTATTTATTTTTAATAGCAACGTATACATTAACTAGCTAATAAAGTAAAAAATGATCCAACTAAGATAGTAACCCAACCCAACCCAACCAAACAATTATTGAAATAATAATTCAGAAGTTATAACTATTTGAAAATGGTGAATGTGAGGGTGAAGTCTTGGTTATTTTATTTTTATCATTACGCATTACTTTTCCATTTTCTTCCTCTACTCTAAATTTAAAAATATTAATCACTTTTGAAGTACTATCTCAAAATTGTTTTCGACCAGTCATTATCTTAATTAGATCATTTTTTATTTTATTAGATTGTTAATATGTATGTTGCCTTAAAAAAAAACCAGCATAGTGGGGATGTGGCATAGTTGGAACAAGTATATATGATATCTGGCAGTATAATAGATCGACATGAGCAATATTTTAGATATCGAGCTAACAAAATGATACAGAAATTAAACATTCCTGGTCGAAGCGGAAGACATCACCTTTGCATTGAAATAAATAAAAAATTATTTGCATGAGGAAAACTCATTGCACAAGCTGAACACCCGCAAATAAATGTACTAATATATCAAGATTACATAGAAATGTAATCTTGATTACATTTCATCGTACTATCTCTATCTCTATCAAATTTGAAAAATATGCATTTGAAAAAAAACTGCTGATACAAAAGTTATTTCTAATTATATAATATATACTATATTATCTCTTATTATTTTACAGAACGTTTACATTGTGTGTAGAAGTCATAGTTGTACTGCCATTTATAGTGATAAAATCATCTATTTGATAAAAGTAAACCAATCGAAGTAGAAATAGCTAAGAAAAACTTATGTTTTTACGAATTACCAATAATATGTTAGAATTAATCATACTTTATGAAACCAAAAACACATATTTTGCAAAGGTTTGATACAGAAATAACAATTTTACTCATTATTTCATAAAAAAATATAAACTAAATTTTAATTCTCAAAATGAAAAGCAAATTTAATTACAATGTTCCTCAGCACCGATTAGCAATTATAAACCATCTATGTAATGAGGGTCTACCACAAATGTAATGGAGTACACAACATTGTGAAAATCCAA